AGAACAATTTTCTCATCGTGAGCACGTGGATAAAAACGAGAGGCCACCGCAGGTGGATTCGAGGTTTTATCTACGTGCGAGCGATGAGAAAATTGTTCGAAATACAAACCCTGAAATTACTGTATGATAAACTATTTATCATCTATATACTACTACCTTATACATTTCTCCATTTAAAAACTCAACTAAACGACATGTTTTCCAAATGACGTCTAAACTCAAAGGTCAACTATCGCCTGTGACAAACGTAAACAAATAGAACTTTTGCGCGCAGAAATACTATGAACCTTAAAACTACGTAGAATAAATATTTAAAACAATCCGATCGACATTGGCTTTTCCATATGTGCATTTGCATCTGAAATGGCGTTGTTATTCTCACAATATTTTTCCGTAACTTTGTATTGATATGTTTATGGCCGAGTGTTTTCTTACGCGGATCACTTTTGTGTGGACACTATTTCCGGTTTCGGACGTCATCTGGCGCGAGCAGACGTTCTGTTTTGAGAAAATACGTTCCCAAGTGCTGGGGAATGAGAAAATCCGTTCTCAGCTTTTTCTCACACTGACAACCAATGCTAATGAATTTATCATGCTGTCGGTAGGTGGTATAAAATAGTATATAGACGATAACTACACGTATGCATTAATCAACAAAAAATAAATTGACATTTAAAATATGTTCTTATGTTTTGTTCTAACAGCGTACAGCATCATTTTGTTCAAGGTCCTTAAAGGACGGACTATACATTTTTTTTTACATTACATCACTACGTAGCACAAACTCCAACATCTGTGGCAATCTATCAAAACGGACTTTCACAAGTCCTAATTATTGAATAAAATGCTTGTTGATTGAAACATAAGGATTGAATCTTGCTTAGGAGCAGTTCAGTTAATTTGTTTCAAGATCAACTCAATTCATCACCCCATGAAATCGACCAAAGCAAGATTCAATCTGCCATGCATACTTACAAGGAAGGAATTTACCGTAGGAGTAAAATGAAACTATAGTTTACGTTCTAAAAGACTATCTTGTAAGCAGGTTGGAGGGAGATGTACCCTCCCTAAACCACCCCTTCCCATGACATTTTCACCCTTTGCTATGAAAACACAAATTAGATCATGATTAGGAAGTTGAATAGACAGGTAATACAGTAATTTGACCTTTCATCCTTATTGTGACTTACATGAAGGAACGGGGACCGTGCAAAGTACGCGTGGAAAACTGATCATTATATATAAAGGTCATATACATTAATACAGTGTATAGTCCACGGATAAGAAGAATTTGGTTGGGACAATCAATGCACTGGTTTGTCGTTTGGATTAGGACACCAGCTTGTCTGTGGGAGGCGATACATAGAAGTTTGCCAACTCTAACTCCAGTTAGGTAATTTTCAAATTATATGAAGGCATAAGGTTTACTGAGTGTCTTTCACAATTTGAAGATTAACTAACGAGAGTTAGATAAACATGATAATCAACCATCACAAGTTTGGGGACTATTTGCTCCCACAATGTTTAGACAGTACATCGTATATCTAGAAACCCATGTTTCTTTTCGGAATACAGTATAGTTTCAGATCGTGGAAACCATTGCCATCATAATACAAAATGACGTAGCAAGTCATTGCTACTTCACGTCATAATGAGAAAATTGACCAATGAAATCACGTCCAGGGTGTTACGTGTACCCACTAGTGGGTAATCAAAAATGTTTACCAACTTCTAGCAGGTGTATCCAATGAGTCGGGAGTGAGGAAACCTAGTGGTTGAGGTAAAAACCGTTTGTATAGTACCCACTGCTAAGCAGTCATAGATTCGCAGTTTCTACGAGTGATACACTACAATATATAAAACATTACAGTTCGTTAAACACTACCTTGTGTATTCGTTATATGTCGTAGGCCTAGCACTCGTGGATTAATTCAACCATACGATAAAACCCTCACTGTTGTGAGACGTCAGACAAAGCACGTGTGTGATATTGCTTATGTTTCAATTAAATGGAAAATCATATCAATTATATACGTTGCATTCGATATACATTACACACGTAACTGTAACAACTCTCTTTCAGGCATGAAACGAGGTGATTTTGGTCACTTAAACTAGAATACGAGGTAAATATTTAATTAAACAATATATAGGTTGATTTTGTTTAATGTGACATGCACCTGGGGATTGCATTCGATGTGAATTGAAAATGAACACAACACGAGATGATATTTGTAAACAGAATATTTGAATAGACAAACGTTAGATAGAGTTAACGAGGCGTTTACACTTCTATTATTAGAGTATGGCTGTGAGGGATGGCTGTTCTACTGGTGATGTTTATCAACTCGATAAAGAAGTACATAAAGAAGCTAGACCGTTTGTCTTTGGGATGCGATCTCGTGCCAACAGAACGGCTTTATGTCATGAAACTGGATGGGAGTAATTACCTTCTAGGGGAGCTAAACAAGAACACTCTTCAATAAATAAGAATAAATTTAATCACTGCAGGTTGTTTACAAGGTATTCTACGACCGCAGGTCTAAGCTGTAACTTCGTAAAAACACGGCCTATAGAACGTTTTAAATGTCATACCGACATAAAAGTCATGTGTTATATAAACATTATATTGAGAGAAATTTATGGAGTAAAAATAAAGACGATCAAATAATAATATAACGTGCCAGGTTTTGATGGTGGAGGAAAGCCGGAGTTTCCGAAGAAAAACCACCGACCAACGGCCAGTACCTCAATTACTGAAAGACTAGAAATAACAAATAATATGTGAGAAGTGGGCTTCTGTTATATACTTATAAAAAACAAAGAACTCACCGGCTTTTTAAAATTTTAAATTAGCGATAACTTTTGTTTAATGTAGAGAAGATTTAAAGGAAGTTAATTTATAATAAATGGGGATTATTTAGCAAATTTATAAGAGGCTGATCTGAAATGTGAAAGCACTGGGGTTTTTTTTGTTGAGGATTTATATATATATTTCAGATATCACTTGAAACATTCAGATCCCGCTGCCGCTTCTATTACTTTACAGAAATATTCCCATATATGTAAAATATGCTTCTTTGATCTCTAGTCTACTATGTCGATCACGGTGCGATGACTGAAATATGTAGTCAACAGGACAGAAATGCGAAAAACGTGTGGTTTTACCGTTAGTTGAGTCCGCGTACGGACATGGTCAATCCAGAAAATAGATTCACACCCATAAATATGATTTAATCTGACTATAAACTTTCAAATCATATGACAAGTAAATGGTCCACAAAATGAATTTATATAAGATTACTGACGCTTCAAATAAAATAGCTTCGACGTTTTAAAATGAAAACAAAATAGTTAAAAATATTGAATAAATGCCAAATTTTACACATTTATCATGAAATTCCTCATAAATCATAGATCGGGCCCGGATAAGGTCTATACACAACTAGTAATATCGCTTGTGTAAAAAAGGCCCACGTCACAGATACTTATATAATAAACAACTGATTAGACTGCGTAATACAATGTAGACATACCAATGATTTTCACTACTTTCAATAATTGAAATCACCCATAGAAATATATTTACCAATACTAAAACAGATTACACTTGACTTTAAGCATATTTTATTAACCAGAATTGGAAATTAGGATGTATGAAGCCATCTCCTTACAACAATAATTCAAAACAACAGATGATGATATAGACTGTCAATTACAATTCATAGTAGTATATTTACATTTGCCCCCGCGCCGTCCCATTACAACAGTGTTAGAGGGCATGTGTAATTATATAGGCTATAATTACAACTGCTCGACTATAATTACAACTGCCTGTTTTTCTGGTGTAGGAATATGTAAACAAACAAAATGGCCGCCTGAAATGTATTTTGAGGCAGGGCAAATGGTTTTTGTAGGAATATGTCTTAAAAAAGAAAAATATGTAAATATAAAAAAATACCTGGTTGTCTGGATGTAATTATTGTTGATATAATTACAAGTGGGTTCTGGCAAATCTACAAACAAAATGTTGGCCAGAGGCCATTTGTAATTATATCAACAATAATTACATCCAGACAACCAGTTATTGTTTAAATAACATACAAAAAAAAACATATTTTAAAGTCAAGTTCAATCGAAACATGTTAAACTGGAATCTAATAAATTTGTATCCAAAACCAGATTTTCATTTCCAAACAGTAATAATCTCAACGTTAAAGGTACATTTAAATGATTTAGCATTTAATACCGCTTTGTGGCATCACATATGTTCTTTAAATCGATAATGAAAAAAATTGCGAAAACTCAAATATATGTTGAAGTGGGATGCCCTCTTAAAAATTTACAAAACTTATTTATTACCCGTTTTAGAATATGCATGTGAGGTTTGGGATGGCTGTACTCGGATACTAATATATAAGTTTTGTAAATTCTTAAGAGAGCATCCCGCTTCAACATACATTTAAGTTTTCGCATTTTTTTTTCATTACCGATTTATAGTACATATGTGATACCACAAAACGGTATTAAATGCTAAATCGGTGCTCCGTTATAATTACTGTGAATTTTGTACATTTGCTTATATATATTTCATATTAATACAACTTTCCTGACGCATCACATTTTGTTGACACATACTTTCCGTCGTACTTTTAAAGGTAGCTTCATCTTGACGTACTTACGTTTATCTTGACCAATATAAACCTTTCCGTCCATCATTAATTTTGGCAACTAAAGTTTAAAATATGATCTGAAAAAACCCCCCATTAATTTAAAATAACAATATCAACGTACTAGATGATTTTTATCGGCAAGTTAACAAATATATGTTGACATTATTTGTTAATTAAACTAATTTATGGATCCATAGTTTAGAAACTGATATTGACAACAGTTATCCCACAAATGCATATATTTATGCTAGAGTTATTGCCCCTTGACCAGTGATCCTTTGTTTTGAATTGTAAATAACAGACTATTTCACAACTTCCGGGTAACGGTGTTACTCGCTTGTTGTGCAATGAAATGCATAAAGCGATTTCACCACGGCTTTGTATATAAGGACTCGGGCTTTGGGAAATGTTCAAAGCTGTCGGGGATGATCTCTTAGGCCTTACAACTAAACAGTGTCTTTTATACTGAAGTATTTCGTCGGTAATCAAACACACCATGTCTGACTTGCACGAAAAAGAAGCTATCCGTCTATGTAGGAGCACGACAACGATTGAAACCATTGTGGACTTGACACGGCACGCCAGTCCACAGGTTCGACAGGCTGCTCTCAAGGAAATGTGTCCGTGCAGGGTGAAGAAGGACCACGACGATTTCTGGAAACGCGTTCTCGAAATGATCGACGACGAGGCGACTAACGTCCGCTTCCAGGTATTTATTTAAAGTTATTTACGTCTCAGCTGATTTTTGCTATTCATCAATAAATAACAACATTTTAACCACGTACAAATCTTATTTCTCATCACTGACCGTACAATGAGCCCTTCGATATTGAATAATTATAGAGACGAATTTCGTAGCCTTAAATTATAATCCTCACATAAACTTATTAACATGGAAACCACCATAGCATTAATCATATCCCGATATATTAAAAAACAGAATAATATACGGTACACATTTATTAGGTATATTAACGTGTCCGGCACGTACATACACGATTATGGCTTAAATGTAGTAATATTAAACAACACTTATACATAAGAAATTTAGAAGGAAGTCCATTATGTAACTGCGGATTAGTTGAAAGTACCCATAATTGTTTACTATCTTGTGACAATTATACCACAATCAGACAAAATACACTACATCAGTTAGACATTATTTTTACTGAAAAAACACTTCTGTGGGGTAATGATATTTACTCCAAACAGAAAAGTGAGGAAATATTTTTGACAGTCCAAAATTATATTAAACTAAGTAAACGTTTTAGCTAATATTTTTGTATCAATTGATTTAAATATGAAAACTTATTGTGTTGTATCATTTAACGGTACTCAATACAATAAGGTGACCTGTACTTACAGACTATTAATTTATGGGGGTCATAAATCATGTCTATAATCAATTCTATTCACCCCATGTACATGTATATATGTTATCTGTTAAACTTTATTATTATTCATTCCATATTGAAATAAGGTGTTCTCCAGTACCGAAGATTCATTTGCCTTTTGATTTGTTTGGGAAAGGAATTAATATAAGCTCTAAGCTTGTTTCCCATCCCATATTTATATTTGTAATTGTAATATTGTTGATTATTGAATAAAATATTGTTTAAACTAACGTGTCCGTTTTCTACCGTTAAACCAGGTATTACACACCCTGTGTGACGGGTCCCCTGCCCACCTTGAATTCGACGTTGCCGAGGCACTTGACAAGTTCAACAGGGATCGTGACCCCAAAATCCGCAGGACAGCGCACAGGGTCCTCACGACTTACTGGAAAACAGGCAAATGGAACGTCCTATAAACACGTCTGGTATGAACCGTCCACATTACAATGTGTGCCGTTTAAACCGGTTACCAGACCTCCTCTTCGGTACAGCGGAACCAGGTACAGAGGAAACAGGGGTCGACACACGATAACCCAGTACCCCCTATACAAACGTGCCTGTACAAACAAGAGGACCAGGTATAGAGTGACTAGGGATCGGCACACGAGAACCAAGTATCCCCTGTACAAACGTGCCAGGTACCGGTACAACAGAACCAGGTTCAAAGGAAACGGGAGTCGGCACACGGGAACCAAGTATCCCCGGTACAAACGTGCCAGGTACCGGTACAACAGAACCAGGTTCAAAGGAAACGGGGTCGGCACACGGGAACCAAGTATCCCCGGTACAAACGCACCAGGTACTTGACCAGGTACGTTTATCAAGTGAAGTGTAACCAGGGACCTTCGCGTGAGAACCTAGTACCCACGGGGAAAGCGTACCAAATACCGTACAACAGAACAAGGCCCAAACGAAACGGAATCGGCATCTGGGGGACAACATGTACCAAGGAAGACGTTGTATATGAAAAAAACGTTCTTGAAAACTGATTTCAATTGGTGTCAGTTTAGATATTCTATACTGTATTGGATGAACTGTGCTATAGTATTTTCCGGATAGCAGTTGTAATTATTTGGTGAAGCCGAGTTTTTGAAAATCAACCAAACATATGTTTATTGATAAAATATAAAACACTGCCGATATTGTATTGTTTTACTTTTTTGAAATTTATTTCAGAAAAAATGGTCATGTTGAATTATTTTACTTGAAAATCTGTTTATCCAATTTATTTCCAATTTGAAAAAAAATGATATTTCCAAAAAAATGGAAAATGATGCATTATACTTTTATGTATTTAGTTGGGACCCAACGAAAATGATATTCAAACTTTTAAATAGTTAAAAATATGGAACACTGGGCATATTTCAAATTATCAGAGTGTTGGAATTTTGGGGGTTAACTTTTTTATCAATTGATACCAAATGAATTACTGGTGTCACGATGGCATCACCCATTTGGTTAAAGAACTATCGATATTTAGAACGGTCTTCCCGAATATGTCATAAATTCAACAACGATAAGAGACCCCGAAATCAATTTAGACAAACCCTGGCAAAACCTAGAGCTTAAATACCATCATTTGGCTACTAACAAACAGATATTCGCAGGAGAAAAGGACTATTATATGTACATTGTATTGTTATAAGATATGGATGTAGAGGCCCTCAATGCCTGCGTCCATTACCTTTCCTATTAAATTACTTTTATTTACTAGCTGCTGTGCGAAAACTCACTCAATAAGTCAAAGACTAAGTGATGTAGCTTGATTCGTCCACGCTGTATTGGGAATTGGTGTCTTCCTATGTGAGTTTTAAGAAAAAGAACCTAGGTTATCAATGACAAACAGAGTAAATATGTTACTGTACCAGATGGCCATTTCGTCCAGAAAGTCAGGCAATGAAAGTACTGCACAACATTCTTTTTCTAATATATATCATCAGAGGGACTGCCAGGATACATGTTGTGTTGATTTTCAATATGTCAGTAAGAGAGGCTAGGTCTATTTAAGTCAAAGAGAGGCTAGGTCTATTTAAGTCAAAGAGAGGCTAGGTCTATTTAAGTCAAAGAGAGGCTAGGTCTATTTAAGTCAAAGAGAGGCTAGGTCTATTTAAGTCAAAGAGAGGCTAGGTCTATTTAAGTCAAAGAGAGGCTAGGTCTATTTAAGTCAAAGAGAGGCTAGGTCTATTTAAGTCAAAGAGAGGCTAGGTCTATTTAAGTCAAAGAGAGGCTAGGTCTATTTAAGTCATTTCAAAACTTCTATTAACACCATTTTCAAACTGTATATATAGCAATCCATATTGTATAAGGTAGGGGAGGCAACTCCAATTTAAAATCGGGAATTTTATTCATAATTTGGTCATAGACTGAAACATGACTATGACGGACAGCACAGGTTCCTTTTCCGTTGCACGTGGTACATGTGTGTTATGTCCTATAGTGTAGAGTGTGCCACAGATGTGAAAAATAGCCGAGTATGACTGAGTGTCATATAAGCAATCGGGAACGGATGTTAATTGTTAAAAAAAATGACGTAAAACTGGAAAATAATAATTCAATATAAAAAAATAATAATAAACGAAAGAGAGATTTGGATAAGAAGCAGTTCTACGTGGAGCACCCCATTGCCATGACATCGGCTATTACATTGTACCTTAAACCGAGTGGAAAATTAGATAATTGATCACGGGAAGGTACATTTTAATAGAAAATAACTATATAATGCTTGGTGAATACTTAATAATGCACCTGGACATAAACATGTAACATGCTGGAGGCGGAGTTCGATCTACTCAAGAACCCGAGTCGGGTACATTCTGATAATGTTGTGGAGTGCGATTTTAAAACATGTATTATAAAAATACAGACATTAAACGAAAAATGATTTATTCAGAGAATATGTTTAATGATATAAATACTAAAATGTTTGTTCGTTTTATCAAGTCGTCACATGAATTGATGTGCCTGTGTAAGTAATTTTGTGTTTGGAATGGATTGAAATTAAACCTTCCTGCCAAATAGTTTCTTGATGGAAAGGATTGGTATTAACGTAAACAACAATAAGTCTCATTTCAATATAAAAAACCTTCAAATGTCTGTCTTCTTTCGTCTGCTGGATAACTGAACTACTCGGTAGTGAAGCGGACGTAAAACCAATCAATCAATCTGTCCTCACATTTCCCCAAAACCGTTCTATAGAGCGGTTCCCTGAAGAACAGCCTTCAGTAGATGGAGCATGTATGCTGTATGTCATGACCTTCATTAATTGATCAGTGAAAGTTAATTGAAATCTACCATTAATACGTTTTCAGTTTCAGCGTCAGAACTGATACTGCGATGCTCCGTCAAACGTAGAAACGTGTGTACAGAAGTCTACGGGACGTGAAACCTCAAAGGGCAGACAGTCAGAATCTTTCATATGTTTTATGTACAAAAAGACTGTGAACAACAGTCACCGTATCCGATACATTATAATATTAGATGATACGCATATCATCCTCATTGGTTGGGTAATAATCTCGCGGAGGTCGGTGTTTTGTGATATTGACGCGGTAATTTTAGAAACAGCAATTTCGCTTTCTCGGGTCCATATGGCCACATATACATCTCAATAAAAGTTCATAATTGATATAAAATTTCTAAGATTAAGTTTTCAAAGCAACTGTTTCAAAGTCGATTGACTTATCACGACCTTATCAAGAAACCGAAGTGTATTCTTTTTAGACAATCAATAAAAAAATATCATGTGACGTTTCGATGACTAGTACGATACGTACATTGTCATCTTCATCAGACAAATGACCAGTGAAGCCAGTTCTGAATCGAGACGAGGGGGCTCAAAGACTCTCGCACATCTATGACCAAGTATTAAACAAAGCGTAACTGAATCGAGTGACTTCGGTTCATATATAACAACTAGTGTACATACGCTTACAGCGTAGCCGAATTGACTTCGATTTTGTAGACAACTCGTACACATTTTAAATCTTTGTGTGCATACGCTTCACTGGTCATTTGTCTGATGAAGGTGACAGTGTACATATCGTACTAGTAATCGGAATGTCACAATTTTATTGGTTGTGTAAACTGAACTTTTCATAATCCATACTTACCAACATGAAGAAAATGTTTAGACAGTAAATGTTGTGTAGGAGTTGGAGGTTGGAGGTAGTTCTCTAACGATAAGCAAACATTCAGGGCACAGCATCAGCATAGCAATGGACACCTGATAAAAGACTTATCAGTTGTTTGGTTGCCAAAAGTCCTAGCACTATAATCGATTCACTGTACTTTAGACTACTCTGACACATGGTAAAATGTTAACTTTTAGGTATTTCTACATTCTTTTAAAAAAATCTTTTCTTTATCGTTGTATGTCATTTTCTTTAGTTTGTGTTTGTGTTCGGACCTTTGCGATGCCACTCTAGTACCTGTTAAAGCATTACTTTAAATCGAATTTGCCCCTAAAAAGAGCTTACGCTCCTACTAAATTTGTAGTAAGAGTTAAAATGAAAACAACGTATAGTTTGTATATTTTCT